GCGAGTTCATATTCCGAAAATTTTCAAATCCAATGCCTTTGTGTATAAAGCTCATTTGACAGACATGGAGTCCTCAAACTGAGAGCTTCTTGATCATATCAATCAAATACTTATTTTCTGATGGGAAATTCTGCTTCTCTACCTTCATAACAGTGATCTTCACGCGCTGCTCATCATTATATCTCTCTTCCTTAACCTTGAGCTTGAACAGGAAACTGCTAAAGACAACGCTTCGAATAATTTCCCCAAATCTTTGTTCATCCCCTTCTTCATACTTCAGAAAGTACAACTCCTTTGCAGGAAAGCCCATTATTTCTTCTCCAGCTTCTTGAAAAGCAGTAACCCAAGTCAAGCCAGTGTGGTCTTGAATCTGAATCTGAAGAAGATACCTATAATCACAATCCTCTAAATCTTGATCGCACCTCTCGCAATGCCATAAACCGCCTCTTGATCTTGTGATTTTCTTATTGCACTGCCTATCTCCAACAATTACAGGGCAAGCAGTGTAACAAAAACTATCTGTTTTTATAAATGTGACGTTTGCCTTCACATCAATCCAATCGGGCTTATCAGAAAATCCAAGTCGTTCATACTTGATATCACTCACATTTTTACGAACCCAATCAGCTGATACAAAATCTTGCGATATTGGTTGAGAAATGGTCCTCTTGCCCTCACAATCGAACCAGACTCTTAGGCTTCGAGCCTCGGGTATGTCGGGATTTATGAATAGTTGGGTCGAGGAGATTGTACCAAGAGACTTACCACTAAAATCACTGACCCTTGAGGCCTTAATGGCTAAAACTGGAGAAGCACCAGAGTCAAGCATATCATGTAACTCTTGGCCTTCTTTATTGCAAAGACTACCCCAGAGCGTAAGCTCCACAGTCCGACCTGATGTGTCCTTAAGATTAAGAACCCTCTTTTGGGTCTCCATGCCATTCTTTCTTAGTATAGTAACTGAAGGATTAACAGATATTACAACTCCTATAACATCTGCCATTGAGCCACTCTCCATGCCCTCGATTTCATTGATCAACTTAAAAGAGAACTGTTGTTTTGGTATGGAGTCATCTTGATCCATAGATGGCTCTACTATTGAACTGGATTCCAAAAAGATTTCCCAATTGTTGTTTAAATGGTTGAAGTTCTTTTGTGCAGGTTTGAGGCTTCCCTTTGATATCATGTACACCTTACCCAACGCTATCTGATCAAAAAACCGATCCACTAAAGCATTGAAACAAGTTACACGTATCTCTCCACCATCTGAGTCAAGAAGATCAAAAGAGAAAACTTTGCCATCTCCCTTGGCATTGTTGTAACGCCTTATATCAGCCTTGGCAGTGACCCGAGCCTTAATAGCCCACCTTCCCTGATATGGATTCAGTGATGAGATGGGAATTATTCTTGGTGGGGCTTCATTCTTAGCTATAGGGCCTTTATTTGAGTATACTGGAGGAGGCTGATAGGGAGGTTGAATAGCTGGTCGCCCAAAAACATCAGATGAGGGACTAGCCTTTTGACCAACACTGCAGTTTGAAGTATTATTTGCAAGATTGAGAGAACTTGTATTTGTCGCCACTGGTGTTGAACCATTTCTTCCATTATGGGCATCTCTATTTGAAGGTCCTATATCTAAATCTGTGAACTGTTTTGGAACCCCGATTATCTCAGAGTTAGACACTATTATTTCCATGTTCAGAACAATGATAATTCTGGGGAAAAAGGAAGAGAAGCAATCAATAACGGTTTCAATGGAGTTAAAGAGCATAATGTACTAGTCATTTACAGGACAACACATGCAGACTGGAAGAATTTTATTTTTTTATGAACTTATTCTACAGCAAGGGACTAAGGGTAAGAAGGCAAATGATGTTGACAAGATTCCATAGAAATGGCATATCTTGGTAACCACAAATGGATGCACAGAAACAAAAGGATAAAGGGAAAACAGGGCAAAAAAGGAAGAAGATGGGGAAGAAGAGACAATAGAAGAATCATAAATTGATAACAATTACAAGGCGTGTCTTGCATAATGTTTTAAACCTATTGAGGGTGCAAGCTGGAGCAAACAAAAGTACCCTACCAGAACTCAATAAAACCAGTAAAAAAATAAAAAATAAAAAATAAAATAAAAAATAAAAATAAAAATCATGATCCTTTCTATTGTTTGTTCTTATTGATAAGAAAGAAAGAATTTAACGGTTACGACAAGCTGCACAAAACATGTACCTTGCAAGACAAAGCATTTTCAAATTTTAATCTCCCGAGCAATCTCTAATAATGCGACACTCCTGATGGTCTTGAGTTCCTCATCACTAGTTTTAAGTTTGAAGTTAAAAGTTTTAACTAGTGAGAAAGCATTTTTGTGAAATAGAGGAAGAGAGAATGACTCCGACTTGTAAAGCGACGAGGATGAGTGAACTTCGAAATACATCCATGCCAGGTCACGCTACAACTGATACTAATATGCCAACACAGCAAACTAAGCCACCAACTGTCATACTTATGAACTCAACAATTGCCTAGAGTTCCTACTATTGCTTGATCTGCCACTTCTCTTACTTCTACAGCACAAGAAGCTTTTCCTAACTTTGCATGCAAAAAGAACCCAACTTTAGACAATTAGGGGTGGTTTCATCTGTATATTTAGAACCAAATAAGGCTCTTTTTTCCAAACACTCCACAGAGGGAATGCTGACTAGGGGGAAGGGAGTGGGAGTACTCACACATTCCCCTCCTGTTTACTGTCTCTGACACCGTTAGAAACCCCTTCTCATTATAGAGGTCAAAACCTGGGGAACCCCAAGAACTCCATGTTTTGATGACCCTTTAAGTTCCTCAATGAAAGATGTCTAAAAACCAGTGTTTAACTGCTCGGTCTAGTGCACTCAGACTTGGCCAAGTTACTCAGACTTGCCGCCTGGTCGAGCCAAGAACCCCGGCACGACTTGGGAGCATTATTAAAAAAAAAAGAATAAGACAAGATAAAATTATATACATTTGCAGGATCAATGTATAAAAATTATATAGATAGTATGCTTTTTGTACAATGATTTGTGAGTTTTTTCTTGTCAAATGCAATATTTTTGTATTATCGTGATTTTATGGAATGTCTCCCACCATAAATCATATTTTTTTCTAAATCCATGTTCTCTATTTCTTTTCAGCTTATTTCGACTTTTTATGTTGTTTTTTGGTTTTGTTTCACTTTTGAAATTTTTATTTGAATTTTTAACAACTTTTTCTTCTTTTTTTTTTTGTAATTTTTTAGGGCATTAAACTTTCCCTTAACCCATCCCTAGCCTAGGTAAAGGACGTGGGTTGTTTTAAGTAGTCCGCCGTAAAACTTTGCCAAAACTTTCCATGAATCTTGAATCTGGCTGACCACAAATAATTAGGAAAAGGCTCTCTGATGATGAATTTTTTAGGGCCTTTTGGGCCCTGTACATTACTCGGTTGAGTCCAGTTGGACTTGGCCAAGTTCCTCGTCTAAGGCCAGGGCCGACTCCGATGCTTGAGCCATGTTTAAAACATTGGTAAAAACAAATTTCTCTATTTCATGTTCAATTACTCTAGCAGCCTCTTCATCAATAGTTCAAAATCAAGGTCCAAAATCGCATCATATTGCTACTCAAATGCCTGGCTTTCAACATGAATGCTTTCAATAAAGTTTATCATTATTCCCATATTTCAGAACTATAAGGCATAAGAATCATCTCAAGTCCAGCATATGCAATGAAGGGAAAAACTAAATTCAACAGAAAGAGCCGATGCCATCCAATACCATTGCATTAACAACCAAAAGAACAGAAAATTTGGTGAAAATGAAATTGAAATAATCTACGACCTAAGTTTACACAATGAACAAAAGCACCCATCAAAGAAATACGAAACAATATGCACCATCTTCAACAGAATGTCACAAATAAAAGAGAATGTGAAAAAATCTATTCCAGATCCTCAAACCACATACAAGGAATCAAATCACCACTAAAACCGAAAAACCATAATTTCAATGAAAAAGGCAAAGTGTATTGTATCCATTCATATTGGATACACAAACAAACCCAATATAAACAAATTTGGACAAATTTGGAGAGGAAAGGAATGAACAACAAAAGGCAACGGGCATGAAGAATTCAATTGTAAGCGCACCAAAATTCTAGGGCATGCGCACCAAAATTCTAGGGCATCGATAGAAAAGCACAAAATCAGAGTTTAAAAACACAAGAAAAATGAAAAATTCGACATAATTATCTCACCTCCGATTCTGAACTGTATTACATATATAATCAATCAACTGAACGATAGCTCCTCTGACTAATCTTCCTGATTTAACCAGTTGATTAAGCTGGGAAGCAAGCATGGCCTCTTGAGCTCGAACGCCATCAGAAAGAAGAGTACTGTAACGGTCCTTGTTCGAACCGATTGGGTTCACCTCGAGTACCTGAACTATAGGCTTCAGATTCAAATCTCCATTGTTGACCTTATCAATGGCTCCTGGACTTAGAGAAACCTTCATTTATTCCCTTACTTAGAAATAAAAAACCCTAGGGCTCGCAAAGGGGCAGAAATAATGGCGCTCGGACAAGAATTAAAGGTTTGTTTTGCTCAAGAATTTCAAATAAGATAAAAACCCCAAGCTTTTATTGAGAGAGAAGTACGACGGGGTTTTAGGGAGTCGCAGAGGTTTGATATTTTAGAGTTTTAGAGAGAGGGAGGAAATTTTATGCATGGGATTCAACAATGGCAGTCCAAAGGCCAAATTTCAGGGGCCGTATTTTCATTTCAAACCTTAGGAGCATAGTGTACACATACGCCCTCGGGCAAAATACCAACGTGGATAGATTTCTTATGAGAAATTTTGAGAACCACCCGGAAATGAAAATCACTAGAGATGCTTATATCCAAAAGAGAAAAGTTTTGATCTTTTCCCATTTTTCAATAATTGGATTGTTTCGGTTCAATCTTGAGGAATTAATTTTTTTGAAGTTTTCATACAAGCCCCTATACTTCCTCATTTTCGGAGTTATTTCACTGGTGGACCTCTTTTGGATTTTCCTTTCAAGCAGCATAAAAAAATCTTTAAAATTTTGGTCTTACCCCATCATCTTTTATTTTTCTCTTTTATTGATTTTTTTATTATAAAAATTGGTCCCAATAAATCTTTTTATACTATTTTAATTCAAAAACTTTTTAATAGGTGGAAAGAGAAAAAAATAGGATTTAAAAAGTTTTTGGATTGAAATAGTATAAAAAGATTTATTGAGACTAATTTTTATATTCAAAAGTCAATAAAAGATAGAGATGAGAGATGATGAGGACGGTAAAATCTTTAAGGATTTCTTGCTTGAAAGAAAAATGGTATGAGGGTCTGCCATGAAATAATTTGAGAATTTAAGGGTCTATACAAAATTTTCCCTTGTTTTTTTAGCCCATAGAGAATGTAACATGGATTTCTTTTTTTTTTGTATATTCTATGTGTAGAGGAGGTTATATACTAAAAATTTGGGGTACTAACAAACACCCTAGATTAGGTTTTGATATAGGGAGTAAATGAATATCATCCTAAGGAGCATGAGATCCTAGAGATTATTAGATGCTGCCTAAGAGTATTGTACATTTTACTCCTTCATTGAATGCAGGAATATTTTATGGGATTGTCCGTAAAAAGATCATTTATTTTTTAAAAACGTTTATATAAGTGCGAGGCTACAACCAAATTAGGGCGTACTTCAAAAGTTTTAATAGAAGGGGTTGTTTTGATGCTCAAATATCCTCAAATTGATCATCTCGACCTCAAAATGCATGAACATAAGAAAAAAATGGATTTCAACTTTTGAAAATAGTGCATCTTGTACTACATTTTTTGACCGTCAATTTTCAAGATTTTCAAGTTTTCATAGATTTGTTTGATCTACACTATATTTTAAACTTTAAATTATATAATTAGATATGAAAATATATTTTAAGGCTATCACAAAGATTTCTAGTACTGAAACCACATTTCTCGATACTATTTGAGGGTGCGCTTTACTTTGATTGTTTAGATCATCGGCTTTATACAAATTACATACAATGTGGTCATAATAATTCATGTCCCTTAGATTTCAAAACGGGTGGTTGTAAGAGTGTCATTGATTAGATATGAAGTTAAAAAAAAAAAATTCCGATTTCATGCCTCACTCCAAGCCATCCAAATTTCACATCTAATGAGTAAGAATAATTGTGACTTTCTTATATAAAAGAAAAGTAGTTTCTTTATAGACAATCCTATATCTTCCGGACCAAAATTTTGAGATATAATCTCCTCATGCGACTAACATCATAACCTCTGTAAATTGAATAAAGACCATCCAAATTTTAAAGGTTGACATCCAAGAGTTAGAAACCTTAAAAATATATAATTTTTTTCAAAATAATCATTCTGGGGATTTTAGATGGAAGTTTGAACGGAACAAATATCAAATAGCTCTTTTGACTAAGGGAGGAAGTATATAATATGCTCCCGCTGGAGCAAGATACACATGGTAAGAAAGCATGTGGGAGTATAGGCACACTATTTACTTCTAAACATATGGATAATATCAATGAGGGTGGCAATGGGCCAAGGAGACCTGGCCCGGCAGTAAAAAAAATTAGTGTCTGGGCCAATACGTAGCTTGAGGTCTGGGCCAGATCCATGCCACTATAGGCAGAGGGCCGGGGAGGGCGGGCTTGGGACATGGCCTCATTGGCCAGTCCGGCCCTATGTGGAAAGGGCTGGCCTAACCAGGGTTGGCTCAGCCCAGGACAGCCTAATTGCCAGCCCTATATCACATATTTCCTCGCTGAAATACTAATTTGACAACTAATTTAAATGTACTTTCACCCTTTGATATAAAATTTGAAGTTCCAAAAATATTGCAGATCCAGTGGATTTACGAACACAATAAATCAGAAAGTTCTAAATGATATATGTTGCAAAATGCATTATTTAGAACTAAAAAATTTATATTCTTTTTGACAGATAATTAGTGAGGTTGAAATGATTAGTTTAATAGTTACCATTGCAAGATCTACATTTTCAAGTGAAGAGTTGTTAAGTAGGTAGTATGACTGTTAATTTGACTGTTCTTAGCACCTGACAAATCACTAACCGACTAAAACCCATTGGTCACTATTCCAACCAATTGCACCTGAATTGGCCTTGCAATGCGTTGCATAAACACAAGGCTCCACACTTTTCTCTCTGTTCTTGTTAGCGTATGGATATCTATATTGATAAAAAGTGTTGATTGTTGCCCGCTTTGTTGTTGCCCTCTTTGTTGCTGCCCTGCTGAGATTGTTGTTGCCCTGAACGCAATAGAGAGAGATCTGTGATATCTAAGCCATCCATCATTGTCCGTTGTTTTAATTCTTTCCACTGGTTTCCACCGATTATGTTCAAACTATTCTTTCTGAAACACATCTCTAAATCCATCTCTGAAAAATGGCATCTGAAATGGCTTAGCTGCCCCATCCAAAAAACTACTCTTTTATTTTTTTGCCTCTTTTGCCTTTGAATCATGATTTCATGGTCCAGATCTGTCTGAAATCTCATCATAGTTAGCAAGTCGGGACTATCAATAAATCGGCTCACCATAAAATCGGAAATAAATAGTTTTTATTTTTAAAAGTCGGATGAAAAAATCGGTTAAAAAATACGGATTGGCAAAAATACATCATGTAAAGATATCGTCAATACATCGGACTAGGCTAAAAAATTCGGAGTCAAAAAATCGAATAAATATATGTTTAATTTGTACGATAGTTTTCTAGCATACTAGCTTAATAATAATTCCAACAACATAAAATAGCATGGTAGCTTAACAATAATCCCAATAATGTTTTCTATTTAAGTGTAGAAATACACTATGATCCTTAGACTATATAGTTTTTTTGTCCTCATTTTTGTGAAATGAGCAATATTAAAAGCTCCTATCCTCACATACAATGTCTTGAAAAAGCTTAAAACAGGGCCCGGGTAAGGCAACAATGGGACTTCGTTGCTTTGTATTTAGAGAGAGAAGGAAACCCTAAACAGGACCGGGTAAAGTAGAGATTTGGGTACTCATTTTTAGGGCTCTAGCAAGATTTGGAAAGGCAAGAAGAGATTGTGGAGCTGATTTTAGAGATTTTTGAGAGAGAAAGAAACCCTAACCATACTTTCTTTGTAGAGATTTGGGTACTCTTATTTTGGATTCGTGCAAGATTTGGAAAGGCAAGAAGAGATGTGGAGCTGATTTTAGAGAGAGAAAAGGAAGAGGTGATTGTTTTTCGTCTGTAATATGTAATTTTTCTTCTGAACCATACACCTTTTTTAGAAAGCATGAAAATAGAAATACACAAAACAGGGAAAAAAAATATATCTTTCAAAAAAAGAAAAATTACAGGATACAATTTTTTTGTCCCGTATAATTCGTTTTTTCGTAAACTCTCGTTTTTAACTTTTTTCCTAAAAAAAGGTGATTTTTTCCCGAACTTTTCAAAAGGATGATGTTTTAAACGTTTTTCATAAAAGCTCTGTTTTTTTGAAAAAATCGACGTTTAGTTGCCGATTTGCTAACTATGAATCTCACCAACCTATGGATCTTGATCTCAGGGTCCAGATCCTTTTGAAATATCACCAGCCACTTTGATATCTGATCTGATAATGTCTTATGAAATTCTATCATGTTGTCCTCTAAAACTCGATTTGAAAACACCCATCTGGAATGTTTTTTTTTTATGATCGAGTTTTTCGTTACTTGATCATGTCTGTTCTGGTGCATGAGCTGTTAAATTGGTTTTGATCCAAACTGAGTTTTATTGATTCTTCTAAGTGCCATTCTGTTTTCTCAGTTGTCTCGACTATTTTTCTATCTCCGGTAAAGATTTGGAGTTTTTTGTCTGATGGCTCAAGTCTGTTGTTCCTGAGGATGTATATTGTTCTTGAGGCCCTCTGTTCCAGATGCTTATTGATCCGCCACTATTTTTTGTGCTTGTTGTTCAAGCAATCTGAGGGAGACCACTACTTCTTTAGGTCACACCATGCACCTGAAGGCTTGAAGATCCAACTCATTCGTTTGTACAACTTATTGTTCAAACTCCAGTTGCTTTGTGTCAAAACATTTTGAGTTTGAGGGGAGTGTTAGTGTATGGATATCTATATTGATAAACTGTATGGATATCTATATTGATAAACATCATTAGTGATATATATTAGTATGGATATGTATCTATATGGGTATATATCTTTTGATAAGAGTAGATGGTGTCTATCCATAACCGTTGGTATTTAACTTTAAATGTTAGTATCTATTCAAAACTACTATTAGCCATATATTTATACGGGTCTTGTGTATTCTTTTATCAATCAAACACATAGAGTTCTCTTCGCATTTTGAGATTCTAATGGTTCCATGAAAGCAAAGCTAGAAAGTGCTTTTTTATAAATGTCACTATATTTTTTCCGTTCTTCAATATGGAACTAAAATCTACACTTTCTCTCTCTATAAAGAAACATTTTTGAAAAAACTATGAATATATTATATTATGTTTGACCTCAATTTTTAAATGTATGTTATTTTCATTTTAATGAAGAATCAGAAAAAGCAATTTGAAAACACACTCTAGAAAGTATTTTTTAGCTCAATTAACATAAGTTGTTCATTTTTACGAGACTCTTAGATCTGGGCCTTAGAAAGACCATTTCGCCTTTTTAA